GCCGCTCTTTTCACAATAGCTAAGAGATGGACGCAATCTAAGTGTCCCTCAACTGACAATGAAAATGTGGTTCATTTATACGATGGAGTTCTACTCAGCAGTAAAGAAAGATGAAATCATAAAATTTGCAGGTAAATGGATGGAACTAGAAACTGTTATACTAAGTGAAGTAACACAGACTCAGAGGAAAAAAAAAAAAAACCCGACATATTTTCTCCCTCATATGTGGATCCTAGCACCAAATCCTTATAAGTGAATATGTATCCAGACATAACTACAGGAACCAGGATAATAAAAAGAAACCAGGGAGGTAAAGGAAAGAACCTGAGAGAGAACAGTAGGAAACAGGTGTTACTAAGGGAGATGTGGATGAAAATTAGATTATTTAAATGGGAGGTGGGAGGGAGGGTTATACAAGGAACCTTGTGGATAAAGGGAAAGAAGGTGCTTGAGAGGTGGGGCCATAGGAGAAGGGTATTATTAAAGGAGAAATGGGAAAAATGGGGGCAGTTTAAATGGGGAAACCATGGTGGAAGTGTTAGACAGTGAGAGAGATAAATAATGGCTAACTAGTTCTTAAAAACCAGAGGGATGGGGCTAGAGAGGTGGCTCAGTGGTTAAGAACACTGGTTGTTCTTGCCTAAGACCTGGGTTCAGATCCCAGCACCCACATGGCAGCTAACAACTGTTGGTAACTCCAGTCCCAGGGGATCTGACAGCCTCTTCTGATCTCTGCCGGCATTACATGACACGGGTGCACTTACCTACATGCAGGCAATACATGCATACACATAAAATAAAAATAATAAAATAAAATAAAAACCAGAGGGAACCATATTAGTCCAACAACCTACTGACAAAGTATACATACAACTAGGTCAAGGAACAACATATATGTCTAGTCAAGGTTTATCTGAGAACATTTGCTTTTTTGCCCAAGCTTTATCTACATCATAGCACATGGTAATTAAAAGTATCAAACTTTAATTACCTGGTGGAACTAACCTTCTTGGATGGTTAAAGCCATACTTTGAAATATATTTTCACCATTCAACCTGAACGGCACTTCTCTATTGCTGTGATAAACCACCCAGACTGAAAATAACTTGGGGAGGAAAGGGTTTATTTGGCTTACACTTCCACATCATAGGTCATCTCTGAGAGAAGCCACGGCAGGAACTCAAGCAGGGCAGGCATCTGGAAAGGGGAACTGAAGCAGAGATCACAAAAGAACACTGCTTACTGGCTTGCTCTCTGCCCTGTGCTCAGCCTGCTTTCTTAAACAATACAGGACCACCTGCCCAGGGATGGCACCATACACAGTGAGCTGAGCCCTCCCATATCACTCTGCAATCAAGAAAATGCCCCCACAGACATGCTCACAGGCCAATTTGATAGAAGGAATTCCCTAATTGAGGAATTCCCTCTTCTTAGTTTTGTTGACAACTGGGCATGCTCAGTGCACTCCAAGAAGGGCAAAGACAAGGTTGTGTGTGGGGTGGGCTGGCACACAGATGTAATGTGGCCTTTGTACAAATCAATTACAACAGATGCCAGTTAAAGAAAATCTTCATTTCAAATTTTAAATGAATTACTTACTATATTGAGATTGGGGTATTTATGGTTGAGAAAACAGTGTAGCTTTTTGGTTTCCAAGAAAAAGCTAATTTTTGCTCAGCTGAGATAATGTAAATGCACACAGACTGAAATAGTTTAACAATGTTTGGCAGTGTGATGATAACTTTGATAAAATATTAAATTCCATGCCAAATTGATGAATTTGTACTACATATGATGTGTAATAAATGTATGTTTATTCTAAAACATATATAATATAACATATATAATATATATAATAAGTGACTGATTTGAATTTCACTTTCAAAGTGTAAAATTGTCAGTTCTGTAGAATTTGGGTTTGGACACTGTCCCAGAGTACAATGATAATTGTCCATCATCATCCTGCACAGTGGATGAATCTCTGCCCCACACTGTGAAAGTGTCCACACTAAAGAGGAAACTAAATTCAGCATCAGTAACCTGCTGCCTCAAAGAAACTAAAATACTTTGAATCTCAGTGCAAGAATACACATTTCAGTTTAGCAGGTGAAATATTCCTTGTTCGATGACAAAATTCAAATCTTGAAGTTTGTTCTCCAGAAAAGAAGGAAGCTCTCAAGTGTGGCTCAATGATCTATTGTAGAATAAGTCACCCGACTGAGCTTTGCAACTTGTAAATAACAGAAGAAAAAAAGGCAACAATATTATTCTGAAATTTTAGAAAAACAGGATTATAATAGGAATATTATAACATTCCTTGGTAATGGGGAAAGCTATAGTCAGGGGAAAAGGACAATGTGTCCTTCTATACTAACTTTAAATGATGCAAAATACTCCAGTAGGTATTTTTTTCAAGAACACAAATCACAGAATTTGGAAGAGGAGCCACATAAGCATTAGAAGACATAAAAGCAATTCTGGATATAAATGACAAAAAGCCAAATCCATGATAGCTAATTGTAATAAATAAACCTGACCAGGAAAGAAAAGTTATATATTATAATGGACACACCTGGAATATGGACTGTGGCTAGTGAAGAAGCACTGCACCACTGCCAGATACTTGATTTTGTTCATTGTGTTGTAGTTATGTAAGAGAATGTCCTCTTTTTAAAAAGGAAACATACTTTTGATATTTAGAAGAAAATAGCCTATCTGTAACTTTCTCTTAGAAACTGGTTCAGAACACATGTGCATATGTGTATGGAGCAAAAAAGACAGAAAGCAAATTATTAGATAAATGAAGATGGTAACAGTGATAAATATGGATGAAGGTTAAAAGTGCATATACATTTTTAATAATATCCTTGCAAACTATAAACTAGAATCATACAAAAATAAAAGGCACCAATGAAAAAGCTATAATAAAAATAGTCCAACATAGTTGGAAAAATATGACTAAAATTGCATGTTAAGTTAATCATATTATTAAATAATACAAGTTTTTTAAAAGTACTGGGGCTGGAGAGATAGCTCAGCAAGCACTGGCTGCTCTTGCAAAGGACCCAGGTTCAGTTCCCAGCACCCACATGGAGACTAACAATCATCCTTAACTCCAGATCCAGGGGATCTGACGCCCTCTTCTGGCCTCTGCGGACATTGCACAGCAGGGGTGCACACATGGGCAAAACACTCATATACATAAAGAATAAAAACAAATAAAATTTAAAAGACGTACTGTGCTTAGAGTGGCAGTGCGTGCCTTTAATCCCAGAACTTGGGAGACAGAGGCAGGCAGATCTCTGTGAGATTGAAGCCAGCGTGGTCTACACAAGAAGTTCCAGGCCAGCTGGAACCCTGTCTCAAAGCAAACAAACAAAGAAAAAAGGAAATACTAATAAGGCATAAGAAATATATAGAGCTGAATGTAAGCAAAAGTATATAGAAAAACTACAATGGAAAGAGGAAAGCAATTCTTAAGAGACTATTTACAGATCCCTGGAACTCACATGGTAGAGAGAACTGACTCCCACAAGTTGTCCTCTGACCTCCACATGTATGCCACAGCACAGGTTTTCTCCTCCCCCTGCCTCTCCTAAAGTTAAATTAATTTTAAAATGATTTAAATGTATCAGGGAATATGACAGTTTATCACCAAACCAGCAGAGAGTTGACCACAGATTTTCCTGCCACTTGGTGTATATGTAGGTGTAGCCAGAGAATTGCCATGCCCCAGTTTCCGGAGGATCAGGAAAGAAGGTCTTGAAGAGGAAGGGGCCCAAGAAAGTAACCCACAAGATGTGTTTTTGAACTCCCAGATTCATTCTGCGTTGTGCATGCAGATCTCATCCTAGTAGCCAAACAAAATCCTTGGCCTGAACTAAGAGATCAAATCCTAAAGTGGCCAACATGGGGAACACAAGCAAGACAGAGCCAAACACCACTCCAAATATGCCAAACCACAGCATACAGAAAGTTTATGAAAACTGGTGATAGACGTTAACCTGATTTCCTACTGAAGAACAAATATAAATTTTTCCATGGAAATTTAAAAACACTATATATATATACAGGGTCTCCCTGTAGCCCCAGCTGTCCTGGAACTCACTATGTAGACCAGGCTGGCCTTGAACTTACAGAGATCTGCCTGCCTCTGCCTCCCAAGTGCTGGGATTAAAGGTGTGCAACACCTCGCCCGGCACAAAATATATTTTTAATTCTATTTTTTTTTTTTTTGGTACAAGTGTATGTAAGTGTACCTGGAGTTCAGAAAAGGGTGTCGGGTTCCCTTAAACTGGAGTTACGGACAGTTGTTAGCCACCATGTGGGTGCTGGCATTCGAGCCAGTCCTCTACAAAAGCAGAAAGTGCTCTTAACTGCTGAGCCATCTCTCCAGCCCCAAAGACAGAATCTTATAACATGAAATTAAAATTATCCAAGACACAACCCAAAAGTATTTGTCATACAAAGATCAAGGAAATCTCAGTTTGTGATAACAGGGTGCAATATTGAGATGACAAAGAAGTTGGAATTAAGTGGCAAAATCTTAGAGGCAGCTATTACTAAAAATTTCTAATAATAATGAACACTCCTAAAACAAATTAAAAATAGAAAGTTGCAGCAACAAAATAGAAGATACATAAAGAGTAGAATGGAATCTTAGAACCAAAACAAACTTGCTGGAAATGTTAACCAGAAAATGAAGGTAGAAAAAGAATGAGTCAGTAAATTACACACGGATCAATGAAAGTTATTCAATCGGAAAAACATAGAGAAAAATATTTAAAAGAATTGAAAATGTTACGCTTTTATGAGAGAAGTTTTGAAAAATTTGAATGCTAATGTCTTTGGAGTCTCAGGAGAGTGTAGTAAACTCCAAACAATATAAACTCAATAAAATTCATATGCAGAAACATCATATTCAAAATGTTGAAAAATAAAGACAAAAATTCTTGAAAGTAACAAGAGAAAATTACCTGCACAGAAAAATTTTTGTTTTGAAATATTTAATTTATTGAAATGTACTGGGAATATAGAAGATTTACAATATGTCCCATAAACTCTGTCAGTATTCCACTGACATTAACCCAAAAGAACCATGAGGGTCTCTGGATGACCAGGTTCCAGAGCAGCAGTGTGGGGTGCCCAAGGTACAGAACATGCCTCAGCAGTCGATGGTTCCTGAGAATTCTTCCATATGGTTAATTGTGTCTTGACGCTGCTGTCCTGCAGGGTATAATAACGCTTGTCCTGGAGTTCTTTGTCCAGATCATTGTCCAATGACTTGTCTTCATTCAACCCTCCACTGGAATGGCCCAGGGTATTCCTTTAAAGATTGAATGCTCCATAAAAGTCCCAGGGGGCAATTTCTGAAGACATACCCCATTCTTCTCCTCCTAAAATGAAGACAAACCTCCACAGAAATTCATTATATCAAGATGGCCAAAACACCCAAAACTGTCAACGTCTGTACAAAGTGTTGAGCTCAATCTTCTGTCCACATATGAGAAAGTATTCTAAGCAGACCCTCTCTTCCAATAAAGATTCTTCTGAAGACTGAGAACAAGAGCAAGATGCTGTTATCAAAAAGAAAGAAAGAAAGAAAGAAAGAAAGAAAGAAAGAAAGAAAGAAAGAAAGAAAGAAAGGAAGGAAGGAAGGAAGGAAAAGAAAAAGAAAAGAAAAAAGCAAAACAGCTCCTGTATTGAAGGACTGATCTTCAGCTGTTGGCACTATATAAGTAGACTCTGAAACTTTAGGTGAGATCTCACTGGAAAGAGTAGGTGACTGGGACATGCTCTTTGAAGCTGTTTCTTGCCCGTGGCCCTTCCCTCCCATTCTCTGCTTCCTGTTCACCATGACGTTTTGTTAACCTACTCCTCCCATCATCATGTTCTAGCTCATGACAGACTGAGAAACAATAAAGCCAACCCTTGTGGTCCCAAATCTCTAAAACCATGGGCTAAAATAAACCATTTCTCCTTATGTCAGATAATTGTCATTATTAACAAGTCAGAAAATTGATACCAGAGAAGTGGTGCCTTGCTACAACATCTGTTCCTAAATCTTTGCAACTGGTTTGCAGGAAGAACAAGTTTGGGGAGATTAACTAAAGCCTAGAATTCTGTAAGACAAGCTTAACAGTCAGTTCTGATAGAAGCTTAGAAGAACAGAATGTCAAATAGGTGTGGACAGAAAAGATTGTACTTATGAGGCTTCAGATAGGAACAAGGACTCTTTGGGAGTGGAACTAGAGTTCTGGCAGATCACATATCTTCATTTTGTTTATGCCCTGAGATTCTGAGAAAGGCTAAGCTCAAAGTTAGTGAGCTAATTATTCTGACAGAGGAAATTTCAAGGTAGACCAGCATTCAAATAGTGGCATAACTATTATCAGCTACTTTTAGTCAGGCTTATGGTGAGAACTGGGAGCAAAGATATAGTAGAAATACTTGAAAACCTTGCAGGTTGTACCCAAAAGGTGGTGTAAAATTAAGGCAAAGGAAGAAAAGTTTTCCTTGCCATTACAAAGAAATCAAATACTTTACACTGGGATAATAACAAAGATGCTTTAAGGATCTCAGGTATTGGCTCAAGGGCATGAAAGAATGTTTGAATTTTTTTCCCTTGAGAAGACAGTGACTTCAGCATGACCTGTTCTCACAGGGATGCCAGGAGATGTTTCCCCAGAATTTGTTTTACCTTGTTCAGCCACCCAAGCACTCAGAGGCTAATGTAGTCATGGTCTAAGGGGTCCAGGTACGGCTCAAACTGGCAACAGAATGTAGCGATGCCCATCTGATGCTGGTTTGTAGACAATCGGAATACAAGAGTTATGGGGTATGGAAGCTACCATCCAGATTTCTGAAATAAGTCTTGAGGTCTAGGAAATGTGCAACAGAGGCCAAGGTGCCCACAAACAACCCATGAACGGATGATGCATGACACTTAGGGTGAAGCCTAAACTGCCGGGGAGACAGACTCTGGGATCTTTGACATGTCAGTAATGTGGAACATCTGCCCAGGAAAGCTACAAGCAACAAGGAAGGGGTCCAAGAGAAAGGTCATGTGGACAACAAACAGCTGGTCTGCTCAAGAAAATGGGAACTCACATCATGACATCATGTATCCCCGATACAGGACACAAAGCAACATGATTTAATGTTTTCCCTGCTCTGTTTCAGTCTTACTTTGCAATTCTGATCCTCCCTTGGCTTTCCTTTTGGAATGGATGTGTTTACACCATTGTGCCTTAGGAATATGTAATTCATTTGTGAATTCAGAGGGGCTCATGGCTAAGAGTTTTCTGGGTCTCAGAGGAGAATTTGAGCTTGGACTTCTGAACAATGTTGGAACTGTTAGGACAATGGGATTCTTTAGAGATGAGTGAACTACACTTTGCATATTGAGATGGGCATCAGCCTTTTGGGACCCAGGACAGAATGTTATGGTTTGGGCTATAGAGCCTTCCCCTTAAAAGGCTTACATGGTGAAGGTTGGCCTCCACTTGTGGAGCTATATGGAGAAGTTCTGTAAATTTTAGGAATGGGGCCTTGCTGGAGGAAGTCAGTCCCCAGGGACTACCTTGGGGTTGCATCTTGTCCCTTATCGCCTCTTCCTCTGCTTCCTGCCCACCATGAGGTTCCTATCACCATGATGTTCTGCTTCACCATGGGTCTAGAAACAACAGAATCAAAGAACAGAATTAAATTTCTGAAACTGGGAGCTAACGAAAAGCTTTCTGGTCTTACGTTTCATCAGGTATTCTGTCACAGTGATGAAAAGCCTGGCTTATACAACCTTTCTACTAAAGTAACTGCAGTTTCCTCTTCAATTGCTATTAACTCAGAGATTCTATAGTGGTTCAAAAGTGAGGCTGATATAATTATTTCTTTTTTAAAAAATATTTTTACTTTTTTTCTTTTTATGTGTATGAGTGTATTACTTGCATGTAGGTAGGTGCACCCATGTCATGCAATGCCCAAGGACGTCAGAAGAGGACATTGGATTCCCCGGAACTGGAGTTAGGGATAGTTGTTAGCCAGCATGTGGGTGCTGGGGTTCAAACCTGGGTCTTCTGCAAGGACAGCCAGTGCTCTTAATCGCTGAGTCATCTCTTCACCTCCCTGATATAATTACTTCTTAGACTGATTTTATAACTGAAGATGAAAGACAAATCTTAGAAATTATTTCCATTTTATTCAACATACAGAGAGTATTTTTGTTCATAACAATACCACTAAAATGCTTCAACCCAGCAATAACACTTTGGTCTTTCTTACAGAACAAATTCAAATTTGCATTGAATTACTTTTACTTAAGCGAAGACAGAATTATTCCAATGAAAACCTCATGGGATTTTAACTCTCAGAACAATGTTTTGTATTCTACAATACTCTACAAAACTGAATCTACTAATAACCTGCTTCCTGTTTGATTCTCAGTTTATTATTCACCAGTTTTTAATCTACTGATCTAGCAACAGCAATTTTTGGTCTTCCTGCTAAATTAGAATCTTCTCTTATTTCTCTGGTGTGAAATAGATGATATAGTCTATCAAATGAAAGTTTGACACAATTATAATTGTTAGGATAGTGTTTGATAAGCATGTTTTATTTAAAAGTCAGTTTTATGAGTAAACTACTGATTTTCTATTTCTAGGTGTTTTAGCAGATGGTGTTCAAAACATCTCTCATCGGGGCTGACGAGATGGCTCATCAGGAAAATGTGCTTGCTGCCCACCTTGACAACCTGAGTTGAATCCCCAGGACCCATGTGGTGGAAAGAGAGAACCAACTCCTGTAAGCTGACTTTTGACATCTACATAAGCATTGTAGCACCTGTGCATACCCCACCTCCCACATACTAAATTAAAACAGTCTCTCATTATATGACTTATAAAAGTTTCTAACAGTTGTGCTGTTGGAAACATCTGAAACTCAAAAGCCCATTATGTGTGTATCAAATGCTGAATTTACTCTGG